GATGGCAAACCTGTTCATGACGACCAGGTGTATATAGCCTACGCAAGGATGAGATGACTGCCTAGATGGTTGTGTCACACCTGTCCAATGGTGCCTCACCTTTTCCTCTCATTGTGCAGCTGAGAGGGTACTTCACCAGGTGACGATGGGGGTGCTACCGAGGAACTCTCTACGCACGGAGGCAGCCTGCTGACAGACGCAGCATCCAAGGAGTTTCTGCAGTACCTCAGCACATCCCTGCAAGACAGACATATCACCTGCACAGATGACTGCTGGGAGACAGCTTCTTGGCTCTTGTTTCCATGGCCTGGCAGTACTATAGGATGAACCAGCACTGGAGAACACTGCCTCGCAGGGAGCCGCAAATGACGGAAGTCACGAAAATCACGATGGGGTACCATGGTTCGCTGGACTCCTGCTCTCCAGGTGGGAAATCACTTAAGGATACTAGACCCGCCACAAAGTGGTGAATCATGACACCTGTGATCGTCGAGGCCGAGAGGTTCTGACAATACACTATCAGTCTAGATTGGATTGGCCTGCTATCACTCAGGAATAGATGTCATCTGAAATTAGTGCGTGTTTCTAGGTCCACTACATCCATTGTGGGCCCCCACAGAAGGGGCCATAGGTGTGAATGAGTTACCACAGACGAATGACAGCCCGGTAATTACTACTCCCGTCAGGGTAGCACAGCGGGGGACAAGAAAGCTAGACAAGAAGGGCTACAATAATCCTTAGTTATCATTGTGTATTTTGTTTCTCTCTAAATTTTATCAGTTTACAAGAAGTATACTATTACTGACGTCACCTTAATGGGGACATGTGTGGTACATACGTGTACACAGATGATGACCTTAATGGGAATCTTGACACATGTTAGTGGCTTTCATTGTGTTTAATAATATTTTGTAACGTGTAAATAAAACTTGGATTTTATTTGTAAATCCACATATTTGACTTCACTTGATCATCATAAGTTAAATCGTCATTACTTGCCACAAGTAGATTGTTATTATTATAATGATGGCGAGCGCTAAACCCGTAGGATTATACCGCGCATGTGCGGGAGGGATGTGGAAGGTATTCAGGCTGAATTCAGGGAACTGGAGCACAGATCCAATTCCCTAGATCAAGAGCCCCTCACCAGCGTTAAGGAACCTTCCTTGAGGAGCGCTACAACTAGACAATATAATATTAATTCTAATTGGAGAAATTTAATTTAATACACTTTTAAAAAAATCAGTAGATCTAATATGAATAAAACCATAAGTATACCAGCGGGAAGAAAAAACTGTTTATTTTGGTCTACAAGTGTAGAATACCTGAGGTTACTAACAGTGTGATCTCCAGGATGGTGAGTGAAAGAAAATACAGGAATGGTCAGCAGGATGGTGTGCCTGGTGGCTGAAGCTCTCGCTACACACGGCGAGGCTCTGGGTTCGATTCCCGGCGAGGGAAGAAACATTGGGTTTGTTTCTCTACACTGGTTGTCTATGTTCACCGTCGGTAAAATAGTTACCTGGGTGTTAGTCGACTAGTGTGAGTCGCATCTTATTATTAAAGATTCGCCGGTATTTTCCCGGCCCGGGCCTTTTCCAAGTGGTGGCCCGGCCTTGGCTCCCTCTTTAGGGAGTGTCTGAGACCTAAGTCTCCCATGGGAGGAGGCACAAGTACCTCCTCATCTTTGGGACCAACTGTCCCCAGGCCTAGCCACATTTCCCGCCCTCACGGGGCTCGTAGGGAGAAGGTAGACCTCTCTGGTCTGCCATCCCCGCCCCAAGGGAGATAATAGGAATGACAGTCTTGTGAGCTGCAACCTCGGGCTCATTATTATTATTATTATTAAAGATTAGCCGGTATTCTCCCGGCCCGGGCATTTTCCAAGTGGTGGCCCGGCCTTGGCTCCCTCTTTAGGGAGTGTCTGAGACCTAAGTCTCCCATGGGAGGAGGCACAAGTACCTCCTCATCTTTGGGATCAACTGTCCCCAGGCCTAGCCACAAGCTAGGCCTCTCTGGTCTGCCATCCCCGCCCCAAGGGGGCAAATGGGAATGACAGTCTTGTGAGCTAAAGGCTCGGGCTCATTATTATTATTATTATTAAATATTCGCCGGTATTCTCCCGGCCCGGGCCTTTTCCAAGTGGTGGCCCGGCCTTGGCTCCCTCTCTAGGGAGTGTCTGAGACCTAAGTCTCCCATGGGAGGAGGCACAAGTACCTCCTCATCTTTGGGACCAACTGTCCCCAGGCCTAGCCACAAGCTAGGCCTCTCTGGTCTGCCATCCCCGCCACAAGGGGGCAAATGGGAATGACAGTCTTATGAGCTAAAGGCTCGGACTCAGGCACCTACCCTACCCTAGAAGGGTTAGGCATGGTGTCGATGCTCGGGCTCAGGCACTTACCCTACCCTAGAAGGGCTGGGCATGGTGTCGATGTGGGTCGCATCCTGGGACAAAACTGACCTAATTTGCCCTAACTACTCAGCATAACAGCTGGCTTTCTATATAGTAGTATGTCATTGATGTCAGCTAGGTAATGAACTCCAGGTAAGTCTGGTCACAATCATGACAAGTTACAAAGGTATTTACAGATTACAGAGGTACGTAATGGGTCCAGGGACTGGGCCCCCAAAGTTCCTTTGTAAATTGTGAGTTCATTACCTTTGTAAATTGTGAGTTCATTACCTTTGTAAATTGTGAGTTCATTACCTCTGTAACTTGCTCAGCTATCAAAACTTTGGAGTCCAGTCCCTGGACCAATTATGTACCTCTGTAATCTTTTGACTACCGCCCACAGGATGGGTATGGGGTGCATAATAAACATATTAAACTAAAAACTGTCAGCTAGGCCTTGTACATGTACTTGTAGAAATATAGATATTAATATTATTATTATTATTATTATTATTATTATTATTATTATATTATTATTATTATTATTCAACACATTTTTAAAACATTAACTATGTTAGCCTTTTGAATGAGACCAATACTCTTTTTTTTTTATAAAGAAACTGTCAAAGAAAACGTTTACATGAGGAACTTCAGCAAACTTTAAATAAACCCACTGAAAGACTGGACAAAATACAACATGAAACCCTGAGAATTATTCTGCGTTATCCTATAACTAGTAAAGTAGTAAATATGAGGAAATAACTAGGTATACCTGGTGTTGCTGATAGAATACGTGACATCAGTGTCAAGATAGGACTGAAGGTGCTGTGTGTTGATTAAAACAATGTTATAAGTAAGTAAGTAAGTAAGTAAGTTTATTCAGGTATACACAAATACAGTTACATAAATTATCATAGCAGTATATGTGTAGAGAACCTAGGATAACCCAAAAAAGTCAGACAGAGTGACTTATTTCCATTGGGGTCCTTTTACCTTATTACCTTATTAATTGCTCCCATGATTCCATGCTCCCATGGGTTTAAGTTCCCATTATTTATTTTCACACTAAGAAGTGAGTGAGTGACCATGGTCACAGTTTGTATGTACATACGTGCCAAACGATAAGCAGTAAAAAAACGATGCACATTTTAAGATTGTTGACGAAATCGTCAACTAGAAATGGAAGGTCCAGGTGTTGGTTTATGCAGTCAGTACATCTTGCATGCACTAACTCTTTTCAAAAGTTACACTTAATAACGTGACTACAACTAAACATTCTACGGACAGTACATGTACTAGGGCAAGTACCAGGTATCTCATTATCGACATATTATGAAACAGATATATGTGTGAAACGTTTGGGACATTTTATGTGGAAAGTGTTTCACTCATTTGAGGCTGTTTATTAAATAAAATCTTCTACTTGCTACATACATGTCTTGATCAGGTACTAGACACATATGCCACACCTGGGTACCTTCAGTTGATAACACCATCCAGTGACTTTGTCAGTGCAGTACAGAGGTTATTTGAAGGTGTATTGGAGTAATAAAGCCACTGGTTAGCGAAACATTTTCAAGTAAACATACCCAGGTACTTCAGTTAGTTAGTTTAATATCTTTATTATGCACCCCATACCCATCCTGTGGGCGGTAGTCAAAAGATTACAGAGGTACATAATGGGTCCAGGGACTGGACCCCAAAGTTATGATAGCTGAACTAGTTACAAAGGTAATGAACTCCAGGTAGATCTGATCACAATCATGACAAGTGTTTCGTGTATATCTAATTCGTCATCTTGTCAGTAATGTTTACCAATATTGCCATTATACGTGTCTCGATTCAACCACTGGAAGTTTTGGTTAACTTTCCGGTAGTCGCTGGTTAAGCTGGGTAATTGTTCTCAACCATGAGTTACTGCGGATTTTACTACAGCTCAGTGGTAAAACTTCAGCTCCCAACTGATAGACACAAGTTCAATCTTGGGGCGGGTGGAAACATTTGGTATGTTTCCTTACGCCTGTTGTCCATGTTTATCAAGTAAGACAATGGTTATCCGAGTGTTAGCCGACTGTTGTCACACGGCGAGGCTCTGGGTTTGATTCCCGGCGAGGGTAGAAACATTGGGCTTGTTATTTTACACTGGTTGTCTATGTTCACCATCAGTAAAATGGGTATCTGAGTGTTAGTCGACTGGTGTGGGTCACATACTGGGATAAAACTGACCTAATTTGCCTGAAATGCTCAGCATAACAAGCGACTTTCTATATAGTAGTATGTCATTGATGTCAGGTAGACCTGTATACCTTGTACATGTACTTGTAGAAATAAAGATATTACATTATTATAATATATTATCTCATCCGATTGCTAAAGCCGTGTGTTATCATCATGATATTATTATTCTGGTCCACCTTAACGGCTCCGGCTTCGCCCTAGCGGTCCATAAGTAGTATGTAAGAATTTTTCCCGTGTTGAGCGGAATGGACAGCATCTAACTTACCAACTAGACACAAGACTTCCGGCAGTAAGACTCATATAGAATACACAGTCGTAGTCTATAATATAATAACTTATAGTGATGAGTCAACAACGCGGATGAGTGGGAGAGGCCTTGAAGTGTAGTCAGTGTGATGGACAGTGCTGTCAAGGTTCATCTCAGATTCCACTCTTTGTTTCTTACACATTTCTGGGCGTCAATTATGAGCAACCTAAGCTGGCTACAACAACTAAACCTTAATCATTTATGGTGAGTCCTTTTAATAATTTTTCGGACAGATGCTATCATTACTGTAATCAAGCTAGGCTTAAAAAAAAAAAAAAAAGATTTTACATGGATTCCAATGAAAATAAGCCACTTTCTGGCTTTTCTGGGGGGTTATCATAGGTAATATACCCATAATTGTATTTATGTGTACCGTAGCTCGATTAGCGCACTCAACTCACACACTGAGGTCCGTGGATCGATCCCCGGTACGGATGGAAAAATATCAGGACGTGTTTCCTTCAGAATAAGTAAGTAAGTAAGTAAGTAAGTTTATTCAGGTATACACAAATACAGTTACATAGAATTATCATACATAGCAGCATATGTGTAGAGAACCTGGGATAACCCAAAAAAGTCAGACACAGTGACTTATTTCCATTGGGTCCTTTACTTATTTCCATTGTTGTCCATGTTCAACTAGCAGTAAAATAGGTACTTGGGTGTTAGTCGACTGGTGTGGGTCACATCCTGGAACAAAACTGACCTAATTTCTCAGAAAATGTTCTGCATAACAAGCGGCTGTCTATATAGTAGTATGTCACTGATGTCAGCTAGGCCTGTATACCTGGAGAGAGTTCCGGGGGTCAACGCCCCCGCGGCCCGGTCTGTGACCAGGCCTCATGGTGGATCAGGGTCTGATCAACCAGGCTGTTACTGCTGGCCGCAAGTAATCCAAAGTAAGAACCACAGCCCGGCTGGTCAGGTACTGACTTTAGGTGCCTGTCCAGTGCCTGCTTGAAGACAGCCAGGGGTCTATTGATGATCCCCCTGATGTATGCTGGGAGGCAGTTGAACAGTGTTGGGCCCCTGACACTTATTATGTTGTCTCTTATCTTGCTAGTGACACCCATGCTTTTCATTTAGGGGATGTTACATCGTCTGCCGAGTCTTTTGCCTTCGTAAGGAGTGATTTTCGTGTGCAGGTTCGGTACTAGTCCCTCTAGGATTTTCCGGGTGTATATAATCATGTATCTCTCCCGCCTGCATTCTAGGGAGTACAGGTTTAGGAACTTCAAGCGTTCCCATGAAATGAGGTGGTTTATCGGGGTTATGCGCGCCGTGAAGGTTCTCTGTACATTTTCTAGGTCAGCAATTTCACCTGCCTTGAAAGGTGCTGTTAGTGTGCAGCAATATTCCAGCCTAGATAGAACAAGCGACCTGAAGAGTGTCATCATGGTCTTGGCATCCCTAGTTTTGAAGGTTCTCATTATCCATCCTGTCATTTTTTTAGCAGATGCGATTGATACAATGTTATGGTCCTTGAAGGTGAGATCCTCTGACATGATCACTCCCAGGTCTTTGACATTAATTTTTCTCTCTATTGTGTGGTTGGAATTTGTTATATACTCCGATGAAGTTTTAATTTCCTCACGTTTTCCATATCGGAGTAATTGAAATTTCTCATCATCGAACTTCATAATGTTTTTTGCAGCCCATTTAAAGATTTGGTTAATGTCCGCCTGGAGTCTTGCAGTGTCTTCAATGGAGGACACTGTCATGCAAATTCGGGTGTCATCTGCAAAGGAAGACACGGTGCTCTGGCTTATATCCCTGTCTATGTCAGATATTAGGATGAGGAACAAGATGGCGAGTACTGTACCTTGTGGAACAGAGCTTTTCACCGTAGCCGCCTCAGACTTTACTCTGTTGACTACTACTCTTTGTGTTATATTTGTTAGGAAATTATAGATCCATCTACCGACTTTTCCTGTTATTCCTTTAGCACGCATTTTGTGCGCTATTACACCATGGTCACACTTGTCAAAGGCTTTTGCAAAGTCTGTGTACATTACATCTACATTCTGTTTGTCTTCTGGAGCATCCAGGACCTTACCTTGTCGTAGTGGTCCAGTAGTTGAGACAGACAGGAGCGACCTGCTCTAAACCCATGTTGCCCTTGTTGTGTAATTGATGGGTATCTAGATGGGTGGCGATCTTACTTCTTAGGACCCTTTCAAAGATTTTTGATATGGGATGTTAGTGCTATCGTTCTGTAGTTCTTTGCTATTGCTTTACTGCCCCCATTGTGGAGTGGGGCTATGTCTGTTGCTTTTAGTAAATGTGTCCATGCTCCCTATCCACAGGATGTTAAAAGCTCGTGATAGGGGCTTCTTGCAGTTCTTGGTGAACACGGAGTTCCATGAGTCTGGCCCTGGGGTAGAGTGCATGGGCATGTCATTTATCGCCTTTTCGAAGTCATTTAGCATTAGGAGAATATCAGATAGGTGTGTCTCTACCAAATTCTGTCTCTCTCATAAAAAAATTAATTTAGGTCTTCGACTCTCAGGCTGATTAGTGGCTCGCTAAAAACCGAGTCATACTGGGACTTGAGTAGCTCACTCATTTCCTTGCTGTTATCTGTGTAGGATCCATCCCGCTTAAGTAGGGGCCCAATAGTGGATGTTGTTCTAGACTTTGATTTGGCATAAAAAAAGAAATACTTTGGGTTTCTTTCAATTTCATTTATGGCTTTTAGTTCTCGCGTTTCTTGACTCCTGTAAGATTCCTTTAGCTTTAGTTCGATATTTGCTATTTCTCTGGCCAGTGTCTCCTACATATTGCAGATATATTGGCCTCTTGTAGCCGCTCTGTTGTTCTTTGCCTTCGCCTGTATAGGGAGCGCCTCTCTCTTTCTATTTTACATCTCCTCCTTTTCCTTAAGGGAATAAGCCTCGAGCATACCTCAAGTGCCACAGAGTTAATCTGTTCTAGGCATAAGTTGGGGTCTGTGTTACTTAGGTTATCTTCCCAGTTTATATCATTTAGGACTTGGTTTACTTGGTCCACCTTGTGTTTTTGTTATTGAAGTTGAATTTGGTGAAGGCTCCCTCGTGACTAATCACATTTTGTCGGTCTGGGGCCCCGCGCATACATGTTTGAACCTCGATTATGTTGTGATTTGAGTATATTGTTTTTGATATTACAATATTTCGTATCAGATCATCATTGTTAGTGAAGATGAGGTCCAGCATATTCTCCAATCTAGTAGGCTCTATTATTTGTTGGTTTAAAGTAAATTTTGTGCAGAGATTTAAAAGCTCGTATGTGTGCGAGTTTTCATCTGAGCTGCCTCCTGGTGTTATCTCTGCTACAACATTATTTGCTCTATTCCTCCATTTTAGGTGCCTTAGGTTGAAATCCCCCAAGAGCAAGATGTTGGAGGCAGGAGCTGGAAGATTTTCTAGACAGTGGTCAATTTTCAAAAACTGTTCCTGGAATTGTTGGGAAGTTGCATCCGGAGGTTTGTAGACTACCACAATAACCAGGTTTTGGTTCTTGATCTTTACTGCTGAAACTTCAACTACATCATTTGAGGCATTTAGTAGTTCTGAGCATATAAGTGACTCTGTGATATACAGGCCAACTCCCCCCCCCCCTTTTGCCTGTTCACTCTGTCACATCTGTATAGGTTGTAACCTGGGATCCATATTTCGTTGTCTAAGTGATCCTTTATGTGGGTCTCTGTGAAAGTCGCGAACATTGCATTTGACTCCGTAAGCAGTCCACGGATGAAAGGTATTTTGTCATTCGTTGCTGGCTTTAGACCCTGTATATTTGCAAAGATGAATGTCGTCAAATTGGTGGTATAGGTTGTATGGGGGGGTCTCTTTTCCTGGCACTAATATCTGTTGTTTTGGAGTGGAGGCCATCGACTGTGATTTCACTCCAGAAATTATTGTAGTTGGCATACAGTTTTTGTCATTTACTGCCAGCCTTTTTTTTGCTTCCTGGCGCTTAAAAAAAACCTTCTCTCTGGAGTGGCTGTGGCTACCCAGGTTGTCCCATGATCTGGATGTTCTTTGTCGTCTTGTCCCCTTTAGTTGGTGTGCCTGACAATATAAGTTACAGCACTGTCTTTCCTGAACTGAAGAGTGACACATTTCAGGGTGGAAAGGCTCATGGGAAGGGAGGTTGCATTTTCCTGTTGTCACATGGGCACGGCATTTTCTGAGATGGTCAAAGTTGCACGTCCCTTCTGTTTTTCCAGATATTTCATGCCTGCAGATACCAAGTGCATAGTATTTGCATAGACCTGGTTTCTGTTTGCCTTGGTTTTTTGTGACTGTATTCCCTACTGTGTTCCCTACTGGTGCGTGTTTTCCTGTCTCATTTCTATCTTCAGCACTAATACTAACAATGGAGCCTTCATCAGTTATTTCTGGTAATTTATCTTCACTATTTCTCGGGGCATCCCCTTGTTTACTATCTCCTGTGGTATTGCTAGTTTGTAACATTGATTTTTGCATGTCCTCCTTGTCCACACCTGTTTCCCAACTAGAGCTCCTGTCCCCCTCCAGGCCACCATCGTTTATTTCTATATTCTTGCAGTTACTATCTACCAGGACAGCATTTGTACCAGGGGCGATAGCATCATCTGTCCCAGATTTTTTATTTTCCCAACTGTTATAGAATGCTGTCATGTATTTTTTATGAAGGCCGTTTTGATGTTATCATCTTTTATTATCAATGTGATTTTATTCCACAGTTCAGTCTCATTTGGACATACCCAAAAACACTTCCCGGGTTTAACATCGCTTGTAGATGATTCCCGAATACCTGCACAAGGGGCGTGGCTCCATTTCCCACAGAAATTGTATGTAATCCATGCTGTAACCCGTTTGTTTGTTTGGCTGCAGACTACACAGGATTTCATGATGTGATTTTATTGGTTGTTTTAATGTATATTGTACTAATAGCTTCCTTAAAGTGGAGATCTGTCTATATGTCTTGTATCTGTTTTATTTATTCCAATGAATCAGTGTGAATCGGGTCCTTTGTTCACTTATTTCTTGGACGAATTCGGACGAATCCAGCTAGAGGATCATTCCATATTATTTTTTTACTAAAAACCACCTTAAAAGTAGATCTGTCTATTGGTGTTGCATCTATTTGTTGTAGTTACTGTTTGGGTGTTCGATGAGGGCGCGTAAAAAACCCGTCAGCTTAAGAAACCGGTTAAAAGATATCTTGTTTTCAAAGAA